ATGGCAGTGCTATTCATGATTACGATTACGATAATAATGAAATAAACATATTCCAAGCAGCACAAAATTTTGTTTTGCTTACACGTGAAAATGTGAATATATTTTTGAGATGAGGACTCTTGATAAGAATATAAAGCAAAACATATAGCAAATGAAAATATTTTCATTCGTGTTGTTGATAGAAATCATTTTTGTTTCGGCTTTGGAATAGGAATCAATCATATATTATGATTATTCACATGAATATATTCACATGATTTGACGTATCATTGCAAATGCTTGTTAGAATGTGCTTGGCTCGTAATCAGCAAACAATTCAACACTTTGTTACGACAAACATTTTCGTTATAATCACAGGTGAATAACACACGACTGATTCTCTGAACTATTTTAACAAATCAACTAACTGTACGAATTCATGACACCTTCGCCATTCATTTGTCTGATCTGCGAGCAACACCAAAATAGACCAGCAACTTAAGGATTGCGCATATCGTTCGTACATACTTTGTTGATCAGATATCATGTAGGACAACGCCAAAATGGCGTAATCGAATGATTGAGGTGAGATGAGTAATACGTATTCGAAGCTGTCGAATGTCAATTGCGATGATTCCATGAACAATGATCATATTAACAGAATATGAAAGCTATTGTTGTGCCGTCATTTCGAGACGCTTTATCTTGAATTGATTTCAACATGAAAAACGCCCAACAATTTAGTATTTTTTATGAGTTTTCAGGATAAAATCATATTTCATTATAGAACTGGGGCAAGACGTGCAACATTAAATTCGTTGACTAATATAATACCTTGTGAATGTGAAGCACAATTTATTCATGCAAACACCACTTCCATTTCATCCTCACACAATTTTTTATTCGATCATGAATAGTAATTGTTGGTGATGCTTTGACATTGACATTCATATGTGAATGTCAGGGCATCATCAAAAGCCGGAACTGGAGACAGAGCAAAGAGATGCAGGACGCTGCGTATTGAACGAGCAGAGGACATATAAGGACATGATTACACAGGCGAGTGGTAGTACCTGACGTTTGACAAATTGTTTTATTTTGCTATGCACTGCCATTTTTAAAGTAGTTCTGTTCGGATCTGTCCTCGCACCACCAAATTTCAAAGCTATTCTAATCCGCTCTGTTAGTTATGTTGCTTAAAGTGTTGCGTTGTTCCCAAGCCTCAACGTTCAAGGCTGTTCCGTTCCATTTTGATATAAGAGAATAGGAATAGAGGAGGAACGGAATAGTTTAACAGGGACATCATCGTGAGTAAGGTATTCATTTGATCAGCTAAAAATGCATCGTTAAAAATACTCTAAAAACAGTCTACGAGTAATAGGGTTGTCGTTTGCGAAACTGTGCGCACAACTGCTTTTATATGCAAATATATACCGTGGAAAAGTGAAAATAATATTCAGATGAAGTGTTACGTGTCAGTCTACTGCTAAAACACATAGGAAGTAAAACGGGAGCCAAAAACAAATTGCAGTGAAGATTGGGCAAAAAGATAGAGGTAGGGCACTGCACATTGAACGAGCAGAGGACATATATCTAAGGACATGATTACACTGGCGAGTGGTAATTTCATGCATTAATACTTGCACCCTTTGACAACACAGTTTTGTTTTTATTATCAATCCATGACGATTGTGGGCGTTTGATTATGTGTTACGTGAAACGTTCAACAAACATTATGCCATTTTAAGTTCACTTTTGGATTCGTCGGCAGTGTTTTGCATGGAAATAGAGGCAGTCGGACAGATAAAATGGTCTGCATTTGATTTTTGCAATTAGACGAACGCTATAAAACCATGCGATAGAAGTTTAGGAAATTGAGTTGAACACTTCCGAACACAAAGCACCAATTGAATAACCAACCGCGCACATGGTATGAGTTGAAAGAAACTCTTATCTCATAACGATGCTTTAAATACTCTATTCGATTATATCACTTGTCGTTTTCAAAAGATTCCTGACAAAGAAGACTCACTCACGGAAGTATCGGAGTCATCAGATTAGAGTTAAAAGTGCAGGTGGCGATATTATGTAAGTCGAAAGCATGGGAACATTTTTAGGGCTTAATATCATTTAGAACGACCACTAACTAACACAATGGTTATTTGTTCATTCAAGAAGTTATCCACTTAGTGATGTTAAATGCCATCATCGGCACAGTGTATAACACGCCTGGCCAACCCGAGAGTGCTCGTGGATTAAATTTTGGTAGAAGAAAAGCTTGTGCGCCAAAAAAATGCTTCAAAATACCAAATTTTAACTTGCCCTCTTATTACAAATTTTTCTTTACAATTTCTCCGTGAACCTTTCCCTATGAAATCGATCACAGCAAATGCTTTCATTGTTGTCAAAATTCTTTTTGCGAGACTTGTATATTGGCCTTACTGAAAGAATCAAACACTTAACGCGATTTCAAAATATAGCTGACGAAGGCTTAGAATATCTCGAAAGCCGCTTGACGGCGTTAGTGGGCCGCAGCTGCTGTCGTCTTCAAGTCAAATTCGTATTATTCAAGTCAAATCTTAGCAAACGTTGTAGGCTGTATTTGAAGCCCTTATGGATTGCTTTTAGTCCATGGACTGTGGGTTGACCAAGTCTGGTCAACAATATACTAATAGTTAGAGCACGAAATATTAACCTGTATATGCGGATGGTTAATGCGCATATTCCCGTGCACGAAATTTTGAAAATATGCGCACCAAACATTTTCGTATAATAGGTGAATATTCTTTGACATAACCACCTGTATACTGTATTCCGTCCTGACGATGATGGTGAACGTTGGCATCGTTAACGACTCATTGAATAAATAACTATTGTGTGCTTGCCGCTTATTCTGAACAAGAGTACACATAAAATACTCTTCCTAAATCATCAGCATACGCCGATACAAGAAGGATCCATGGATTTATCATCAGCAATATTCACTCCATTCAGACCATAATAAGATGCACATATAGACAGCAAAAATTTGTTAAGTAGTAGCAATGAATGGTAATGCAATATGAATGAAAGTGTTGAATATCCTCACTCATTTATTCACACAAACATAATAGTCACAATATGTGCTTCAAATTTCATAAATTTCCAAGTTGTAGACACATCGTTAAAAAACATCAATTATCATCATATTGACTAACCCCATTCGCCTTAAAATCCCGATTCTCCATGATGTAAACTCAATAATTACAAAAAAAATTTTTTTTTGATTTCTTCTTGGTGACATCCTGTTCATCACACCTATCTCGCTTTGGATCGTGCACAAGCTCATCATCGACCTTGTGAATTCAAAACTAAATGGATATCGTTGTGAATAGGGCAATAAATGTTGCTAAAAAGGCAAAACGCCCGCTTGAAATAACCGATTCAACAGCATATGAAACTAAGGATTTTGCAATCCTGAAATTGACACTTTTTAACAGTAACGTAAGTGGGAAAATGGGATTGGTGAATGAGTCCTCTGTTAGAATCCTGAGGAGTTTTTATTAGGAATCTGCGCCTTCCCTAATGCATTTAGTTGAATGAATTTGCACATTTCGCTTTCCCAGAAAGTTTTTCATGCCCTCATATCTTTAGAAAAGTTTTTGCTCATATCAGTGCTGTGTAGATGACAAAAATAATTGAATCGATGAGAACAAAAAAACTCTGATTGAATCATGCTAGCGTAAAAATGTAAAAAGTCGCATTTCTGAGTGGATATATGGAAAGATGTCGACGAAAATTCCCTCAACTGGAGAGATGTCGACAGCTGCTTATTTATCCAGATAGGAAAACTGCCGACGAAAGTTGACTGAATTGGGAAACTGTTGACAGGTCAACTGGAAAAGCGTTGACGAAAGCTTACTTGATTAGGAAATTGCCAATAACACTTCTCCAATACCAAACAGCTGGTTGTTTACCCGGAAAATCTCCTCCTAGTGGGAACTCATCTTACCCTAAAGCTGCTTAAAAATGCACCAAAAATTTCAAAACGATAAATAGAACAAAAATTATTTGTAAACATGATCAGCCAAACAGTATAATTTGAATGCAACAGTGTTATTGTAGGGCTAACAACTTAGCAATATTGAGTATTTGAACAACTATCGCAATAAATATGATCATCTTTATAAGAAGACACTGAATAAGAATATTCCAGTTGACGAGCCTATTCAAGCTAGCAGATATCATTAGCGTTGCACAAAAAATGCTACAGGAATAATTTCGACAATTTACTCATAGCGGTGAAGCACAACAACTGAAATATGATTTATGATGCGATTCATAACGAGACTCACAAGTATAGAGAGAGCTGAAAGCAGACGCATGAAAAGAAGTCAAGTTGAAATGAAATTTTCAACGATGTTAACGAGGAAGAAAGATTCAGAGCAAATTTTGAAGAATAATTAAGTGATACTTGATGAATTTAATCAGACTTCGTAAAAGCAATGCATGCGTGAGAGAAGACAAGCAAACAGAATCAACGAAAAATAGCAATTCAAAATCGATATGCAAAATAGTTTCTCTGTCATGAAGTGATGGTATTTGGTGAATTGATGATGATCAATTTGCACACTGCATGTGACAGAAATTTTTAGTCAGCAGCGCATTTTGTTGAAGACACCTCTAGCATTTTCTTCATTTTCACTCGAAGTATACAAAAAAATTTCGTATTCATCGTTTCCCGGAGGAAATAACATCGCCACATCCATTCACTGTCCGCAAACTCATGTGGTAGGTTTTGTGGATATCGAAGGAACGGACAATTAAGGAAAACAACTATGAGTAGTTTTTCGTCTCCTTGAAAGTTCAGCACATGTACCATCATTGTATTTGTGAATCGTCAAACAACAGTTATTTCGAATGTCAAATACAGAAGCAAGAAGCAATCACATGTACATTGCATTTCTTCAATACAGATGGCTTCAAGTAATTATCAGTTTGAGGAAAGAACATAAATTAACATCTCCAATAGAATTTGAGAATTATTCTCGTAATGACACAGCGAGAACAGCAGTTCTTTCTGGCGAGCTTGGTGGTACTTCACCACTGAACACGATTAAGTCATCCACTGATACCTGAAGAAAAGCACGAAGAAAAATTCATATTGTAATAGGAATGGAAAAGAGAGAAAGGAATAAGATGAGATTGCAGGAAGTTTGGAGATCGTTGATTAATAAACAGTCATCAATTGTGAGCGATCCAATATGCCGTTTATTCGTTGACATAGAGATGGATGTTTTGGGAAACATACGAATAATTAAATGGGATGAATCATCGTCAGTTTCGACGAAAATGAAATTGTTTGTTAGTAATGGCTGGGACATATATGCATAGTTAGGATGGAATTCATCTCGAACACTCTTAGTGTAATCGATACTTCAACTGTGGATATTAGGGATACACAAACGCAAATGATTGTTTAATGTGATGTGATAACCTACTGCGATATGTCGTACACCTCGTTCAGCCGTTTTACGATAATTGTATATTCGTATTTGTGAGACAACAGTTGGAACGTCGAATATTATGAAAACCCTCGCATAGCGATTTGGTAGTACTGGTGTTAGCCACATATGCGATGCGCTGTAATCATTGGACGGTCACAATCACGCTTGATAAGATTCTATTCAGCATTAGTTAGGTTTGATAAAGCGAATATTGTCATTATTTGACTGCTGCATCAGAAAATTATTGCTTTTAAGACGATAAAGTTTTGCAAGAAACATTCAAATCAACTTACGGTTTTTGACTTCTCAAAATGATCGTTGCACTTCTTTTAAACTTATTAGTCAAAGCGATAAAACTGGTCGAATAGAAAGAATCATTGATGAAAATGAGTTATGACATAGCTTCTTTAATGATACCTCTTGACTACTGACCTAACTGCAAATCTCTATGGATAAAATGATGCAAAACAACAATCACCTCGTCGTATCATTCACACTGTCAATGAGCTTCAAACTTGTTCTTGGATCACCATTAACTGTCGGTAAAATATTGACACTCTCTGGAAATGCAGCCAGATCTGAAGACTCAACGATCATTTCACATTTCTAACCTGCTTATGTTTTGTTCATTAGATTGATGTTTTATTTAACAATTATCACCAACTGCCAAATCGCTTAAGAAAATTTGGAATACCGTCAATGAGCATTCGTCAGAGTTTCAACAAATGCATAAGGACATGTGTTCGTTGAAAAATCATAGCGAATTAAAATCATTCCCTTCAATTACGTAATAACTTCATAGCAACAAAACTGATCTGTTGAAGAATCATCAGTCATAAGCAAAGTATTTTTAAAGTTTCGACTCCTAAGTTACGATTCTCATTGAAATCATCAATTCGTTCATTCAAGCACCATTCATAATACTACATTAAAATGCAATTAGTATTTTGCCCAAATTCCGTTCGTGCTTCCAATTGGCCACATAACAAAAAGCCTCACTTTGTGGCTGAAGTTTGATGAGCTGATCGTGGTTATCATAGAATTCAATGCCATTCAAACCAACGTAGAATTCATCACCCCATGTCGATAACAGTCTTAGTTGATAAATAACTGAAACCATGAAGTTGAATCAGATTTCGAAAGCTATGAAAGCAATATTATGATTTGGCCGCAAGATCGTCATTTTTTTGGAAGAGCAATTGTAACAGAAATATTTCCCATTTCAAGATATATTCATGACATTACCAGTGTAATGCGGCAAACGACCTTGTTGAAAGTGAAGCGAAGTGAATGCTGATCTAAACACTCTAAAACGACTTACAGCCATTTATTGAGTGAGTATTTGGCCTGGAAAGTGGTCGAAGAAGAGTGCATTTGTTGAATGGGACATCTTGGACGAAGTCAAAGAACACATATCCTATGAAAGAATTCGATGATTATAGGCTGATTTAAAGTTTCAGATGTGAAATGAGCCGAATTATGAATTATTCTTTCAATTGCGCACATGAAAAGATTGTTGCGAATGAATTTTTTTGGGAGCGTTATCCACCTAGAAACTCTTCCATCGTTAAACGCTCAGAAATTATTCTGAAACGATGAAAACTTGCCTGGTGCCTTTCTCAAAATGATCGGACCAGCTACCAGTTTACCATTCACATAGAACTGTGCAGTACGGACACCCGCATAAGACATTTCCGGTGATAAATTATAGTTCCATACGCAAACGCCTTCAAATGAAACAAGTTTCCCGAAAACACTGATCTATGAGAATTAAAACAACAGAAGAACCATTCATTTGTCTCAAAGTATTGTTAAAATTAACCCATTAAAGGAAGCGGTTCCAAGAAGGTTATAGTAATGCACGGCGGCATCGCATTTGTGGAGTGCGGTATTAACCACATATCATCTCGATTTCGAGTTAAATTTCGTCCATTCAACAATCTTAAATTAACTTCGAAATGAGAACAATTCTGCGATTACAATCAAAAGAGTTCATATGATGCGATCAAAGTACAATAGAGTCGAGGAGAAACGGATCAAACATGAGCTTGTTGTTAGCTACGTGACGAATCACCGACGTCAAATGAATAGCACAACGCTAACTCGCTTGGGACCACAGAAACATGCAAGTATTTCAAAACACATCACGTAAGCTTATGATTAAACTGGAATGCAATTCTGAGCATAACTAAACTTGAGAATTTGTCTTACAATTAGAAAGATTTTATCATTTAGTTTTGCTGAATAAATTCGGTATGTTATGCTTTTGTCTCAGAATTCAGGAACCTCAACTTATGCTACAAACGATTTTTGTTCATTTCATAGCTAAATTTTTCTCAGCTTGACAATGTTTCAGAAATGACAACGGAGAATAGACGATAAAAAACCTTTGAGCGTTTTCGGGTGAAGCCGATGCTGTGATGTGACATCCAGTCGTGGTAAGTATAACACCTTTCGGACCAAGAAATTGTAAACCTGTTAGACCAATACAATCAAGAGCTCCCCAACTCTCCATCAATTCTATATGAAGAACTGCAATTGATTTCCAAATCAACTGATCATAACATATTAATGACAGCGTTAAAAATTATTGAAACATGCATAATGCCGAACACACTATCTGGGATAATTCATCATTTGGCTACAGAAAAAATATCTNATTTCAGTTAGCCCTGTATCGATCATCTAACACCAGTATTTGTGGTTATCACGAATGCAACTAGCAAGCAAAGTGTGATGAAGTGGAAACGCTTTCAAATCTGACCTTTAACAGCAGGCAGTTCATTGGTACCTCGCTCGACATCAATCAACATCGATATATCAGAAGGTCGTTCACTGCAAGCGTCTGTGATCATCTCGGCTGATTTCTCGTCAATAGCACTTCGAGAAGTTGGTCGTAATTTCTTCCTCTCACCAGTGAAAGGTCGGTGCACAACTGCTGATTGCAATGAAGCAGGTGTTGACGACGTAGCAACTAACAAATTTATTTTGCATTAAACGAATCGTTTTCATTCAAACGACTTCTTCCGTAAAAGAACAGCATTCACAACCTCGTGTGTCCGTATCAATGTTGAGTAGATCAAGAGTACTTGTCATAATTTCCTCATCAACCAGACACACATCGTTTTCGGCAATCTTTTCAAGAATCGCTTCGTCGGTTGTGAAAAGAATTGTCTGAAACAACGCGTCAACTTAATGGAAGGAATGACCGAAACTAAAGAATAAGAATAATGAGTGTCATGCTTACGTCACCCATTGGATGTAGTTCTGCGTTCGAGCTGAACGCGCAAGAAATTTCACCCTGGAAAATCGGACGTTGATCGAGTTCAATGCGTAAATCACGAACTCCACGTAGCGCATGAACACGAGATTGGTCGTAATTCTAGCAAACAATTGTGAAAATCATTTGGTTGCAGAAAATCTTTCAGTAAAGACAAAAATTTTCTTCATAAAATACTGTCGAAAGCGGAATGCATGAACATTCAGTGTAAAATTTATAGGAGGATAAAAACTCTTCCAACTGCATTCCCTGTGATTCGTATTTCAAACAAAGAAATTAGTTGTTCAGAAAAATCAATTCAGTGATTATTATAGCAAGAAAATGCGATGAAAAACTACTAACCCAAACTCGAATCATGGCAATACTTTGTTCGCATACGAGAACAATGTCAACATATACAGGTTCGGCCATACCATCACACCTCAAAAGCGATCATTAAACGCCAAGATAATGAACGAGCTATGTGTGATGCGCATCATGAGCAAACACATGAAAATTTGAATATGTATCAGTGAAACTACTTCCCAATTAACAATTCGGTGAAGAAAAGAGATTTATGAAGCAAAAACTTGTTTAGAAAAATGATAAAATATGCCCAAAATTCAAGAGGACAACGAATGTGGAAACAACCTAAAACAGACCGCAAAAAAAATCTTGAAATGATCGCTTGTTGCTGAAAAAGTTTCGCTGGATTTTTGAAGTACGGAAGTGTGAAGCGTGTACTCGAAAGAGATTTTTCAACTGAGTTCAAATTTTAACTATTATCAAAAAACATCTTATTGTTAGCATAATTAAGAGGGAAATTCGTCGATGTGAATCGCTGACTAACTTTGCTGTCCACATTCTCTGTGGATCGGTACATGGCCAACGACGACGTTCATAGATCAAACTTTCCAATATTCCCATTGATTCTTTTGCATTTGTTTGAATCTAAATGCACTAAACGATCACTACAGATTGAATGACTGAAGCTAATGTAAGTAATCTCTAAAAAAATAAATATGGACCAAACGAATGATTTTGCTTAAAATTAGTTAATCTGACAATATTAGCTACGCATCTAGCAATTTTAAAACTGCTACAAATTACTATATCAAAATCATTATGCAGCTCAAATTGGATGGAATGGTACTACTTGCAAATGTTGGGACACATGGGAAACTGTTTTTAATGAAATTTTTCCTCGTGTCTGATGGAATCAAACTGAGAAAATCTGAACTTGGTGGATATCGAGGCCTACAATGGTGTAGCCAAGATTTTTTTGAGGGGGCGCAGGGGGCGCAAGACGCCCGCTCCGCTCCCTCCTGGCTCAAAATTTCACAGATCATTTTTTCTGCAACAAATTTCAAAAATACATAGATCGTTCGAGGTTACATGACCTCATTCATAACGTCACTTTGAACCAATCATTTGCACAAACTGATCGCTAATCAATCATTCATTGAAATAATGCTGCCCAAATGACTCACGCTTTCGATTTCAGGTCGTTGTCCATCAGCGGTAAACACTTCAATCGTATTCAATCCGATAAAATGTGGATCATCCCAAGTGCTTAGTAAAATAAACCTTATTGTTCGACCGCATGGTAATTCAGGTATTTCAAACGGCTCACTACAAATGAGTGTTCATCGAGAAACATTTGCTTTGACAAAGAACATTTCAGAAATCCTTTACATTTTCAGTAAATCTTTCGAAAGATGAAATTGTTAAAAATTATTAAGGGTTCAGAAATAATTCGACAATTGGTAAGTGGTAGCCTTCATTTCGAACCCTATAATCGTACCTTTTCCGTTATAAATGCGAGAGAAAAGATGAGAATATAGGGTTGCTATGGACCATTACGGAATGTTCCATCAATATGTGCTTAGTGAATATTACTATGAATCCATCGCAGAAATTCACATAACGTAAGATTATTATCATTCGATGATACATGAATTTTTGAATTTAGTTCGCATTAAACAAACCAATAATTGAAAAGGGAGAACTAACGTTTCTTCAACACCATTACAATCAACATCATTGTCGGCGGGGTTTTCAGACATTCGTTTAGCTTCCTCAGAAAAATTTGTTCTGGTTTAGAGTTACCTAGAAATTCACCTAATCATTCTTCATTGGAGACGAAATCCAATGCAATGTCGAGAATAAGGCCAACAAATAATAACAATTTTTTTCAGTAATTATTGTTTCTGATTCAGTGAAATTTAACTGCGATTATATATGAAGGCGTTCATGAAAGTAAGTATATGTTCGGAAGATGAAAACGGAGATAAGCGATGAATAATGAAGTGAGTTGGATTTCAACAACTAATGGATCATTATAGAAGGTTCCATCAATAAACAGTTAGCGAATATCAATATGATCAATTCATGGATCCATTGTAAAAATTCAACGATCGACATAAACCAATGTGTTTATCGGTTATCGGTTCAATTGCTACGTTCTTTAAATTACATTTTTTAAAGCGACGAATTCTTCAAACTATCGTGAATTCAATGATTGAGGACCATTGAGGATAGAAATTCGAGTAATTGAGACACTTTCAGCTTTATTTTGTGCCATTAGTACCACGGAAAGAGATTTGTCCATGAAAGAATACGAATGCGTTCAAATCGGATACAACTGATGAGAAGGATGAGAACTGCATTCAGCACTGACTTTGACTTTGCTGAATGAAAAGCATAAACTCATAGTATGTACATACGTTACTTCGTATACACATAAGTTAGGTAACAAAACAAAGTGTAAATTAGTAAATCGTTTCCATTTGGAAATCTTCAACATAGAAATTAACACAAACAATAAGTGATACTGGTACACCAATCGGTTCCAAGAAAAACTTTTCCCGTGAACGGAAATCTCGGAAAGATGTATACATTATTTTGCTTTACGAGCAATAATGTACATATCCTTCCGAGAAAATTCCTTATTAAAATCATGCAAAAACAATTGAAGTGAATTTCAGACCTTGAGATACATTTAGATGGATGCTTAAGAAGTGATGACTCCAAATAAGTATCGCGAAATGACTGCGCCAACCGTGTGAGCGTAATCAATGACTGGTAGCCATAGCAACAATTCAAAATTTTTGTTGGCAAAATGATGTTCGTTAGAGAATTGCAGAAACTCTAACCAACGTTGAATGAATTGCTTAACACACCTTATATACTGTACGAACAACTCCGATCCGATTTAGTAGCACAACGAGAACAACAACTTTCACGATACATGAAGACCTAATATCCACTGGATCGACAAAATAAAGGGCTCAGAAATTATTTAAGCGGCTCAGACAGTATTAGTTCACAAGTCATCCGTGTAGCAATTCCTTCGCATCAACCATTATGAACGCACAATTTTAGTCTGAATAGCATTTTCAGTCCTGTGACCTTTGTTACTGCAATTGCCTCAACACACTGAAATAGAATGTTGTTGAAGCGGGTCTGCACGTAAAATGTACGACTAATCTTCGTAAACGAACATGAATGCAGAGTTTAGAGAAAGCTTCACATGACGCATTCAATAAGTTTTATCAGTGTATTCCGCTTACGATAAGTCTGTATTTAAGTACAGGTAAAACTCAACTTACAACCACTGTCGCTATCACGGACCATACTTATGAAAGAGTTCTTCAAACAAAATTTTGTAAAATGATCAAACTGAAAGTTTTAATCAGCATTCTCCTTCAAACTACGGTAAAATGCGATTTTATCTCAATAATATCGATGAATCAATGAATTCATACAGTCAAATCGTAATGATATAACAGTACCTGTTACTACAAGAATCATGTTAATGCTACCATATAATTGCATTGTTTTGACGCAAGACTTGTCTCAACATGATGCCTTTTTAAATACTGTAATTGCAACGCGCATTTTGAAGAAAAATGCCTGAGCAATCTAACATACAACACGATGCACAGACGATGGCACAATGGAATCATGTTAAATTGTTGTTTGACGGTAAACTTTCTGATTTTCAACTTCCAATCTATCGCTGAGAAAACATCGAAATGCCTATATCTCCTCAACTAAGCCAAATTGCTTAGGGAAATTTCT